TGCATCCAGACGGGTCTTGAAGATCTCCAGAGAAGGGGACTCCACAACCTCCCTGGGCAGCCTGTTCATGACTGTATATGACGGGGACATATATCCTAGGGACATATAAGCAGTACCTAGGAGGGTCAGGTCTAGGGGGGCATCTGTGTCCCAAGAGGCATGGCTACCACCAGGGTTGAAGGTGTTTTGGCCCCAGTTGCCACAGGTGAGCTGGCTTTAGAGGTCTCTGAGCTTTGTGTGATCCCACAGGAGCAGCGTGGCAAATCATGGGCTGCAACAGTGGCAGCCGGCAAGAGTTTGCATGGGGGCCTTCACATCTTTCAGGGACTCACGTGGGGGCTCATGTCCTGTGCAGGTGGGCTGTCTGGGGATGCAGTTGTGTCTCGAGCCTGTCCTTGTTCACTGTTGCTTCTGTGAAGACGGAGGATGCTGATATGCCGGTGCCCCAGTGCTGTGTCGTTCCCTGCAGGCTGTGCCTGCCAGATAGCCCTCAGGCGATGTCTCCTCTGGCCTCCCCCTGACGTGAAGCACCAGTTGAGCCTTGGCTTCCTCTATCCCCATGCAACATGTCAGGTGGATTCCTCCTTCCATCCCAAAAGCATCTCCATCTGTGTGTATTCCTCGGAGCCTGGCCCCCATGGAGGGGGTGGCAGATGCACTGGGCAGAGGGCTCTGCTGTCGATAGGAGGCCACGAGTGGTTCAGGGTGTGTGGATCAGGATGGTTGCCATTTTCATGGGATGAAATAGGAGCTAGACTGTGTCTCCCACTGCCCTGCACATAAATGTGCCTGCAGTCAGACATGCCGGTCCCTCCCACCCTGTTGTTTCCCTTCAAAGAGGGCTTGTGCACTTGTGTGTCTGCCTCCATTACAGGCAACAGCGTCAGTGTTTAGGTGACAGCTTTGACATTGTTCTCCTAATGCCGGCAGGGTGTTTCTCTTTTGCCTTCAGCCCTATTGGAAGAAGAGACCTTCCTTTTCTGTGGCAAGGCACAGGACATTGAGTTCATGGTGGAACTCCTCCTCCCCTGGCTGTGTCCAGCTCTTTACAATCAAAGATGGACAAAGCCTCACCCTTATGGCCTGAAATCCCAGCCTGTGTCACTGCTCTGGCCTGTGCTGGACTTGAGACTTTCTAAATCGCTGCTGGAAAGGGGTGAGTTGGGTGGGTGTGCATGGCCGTGTGTGCGAGTGGTATCTCCTCCCGGCCCACGCCACGTAGATATCTAGTACAGGGAGTGGACAAGATGCTGGATGTCCCCCCCCTGCTGCTGCAGGCTTATCTGCAGGCTGCAGCTTGGCGATGCCGAGCTGGAGGCCTGAGTGGCCGTGCCCAAGCACCTCCCTTTTGGAGGGCTCTTAGGATAAAAGGCAGTGTGCTGCAGGAGGGGTTGTGGTGGGAGCAGGCAGTTCCCAGTGGGTAAATGCTGCCTGCACAATCCTTGCTGCCTCTGGGTCCCACGCGTAACTTTGGTGCCTGTGTCTGGGGCTCGTTGGCGTCGTGCAGCATCCCTGGGACCTGCTCTGCGGTGCCCTGGTGACTGCTTGGGGAGGCAGGAGGAGGACCAGGCGACACCAAGCTGGGTGGCAGTGTTGACCTGCTGGAGGGCAGAGCGGCTTTGCAGAGGGATCTGGACAGGCTGGATTGATGGGCTGGGACCAACGGGATGAGGTTCAACAAGGCCAAGTGCCGGCTCCTGCACTTGGGTCACAACAACCCCCTGCAGCGCTACAGGCTGGGGGCAGAGTGGCTGGAGCTGCCGGGCAGAAAAGGACCTGGGGATGTTGGTCGACTGTCGGCTGAACATGAGCCAGCAGTGTGCCCAGGTGGCCAAGAAGGCCAACAGCATCCTGGCCTGTATCAGGAACAGTGTGGTGAGTAGGACCCGAGAGGTGATCGTCCCCCTGTACTCGGCACTGGTGAGGCCTCACCTCAAGTACTGTGTCCAGTTTTGGGCCTCTCACCACAAAAAAGACATTGAGGTGCTGGAGCGGGTGCAGACAAGGGCAATGAAGCTGGTGAGGTGTCTGGAGAGTAAGTCTTATGAGGAGAGGCTGAGGGAGCTGGGGGTGTTCAGTCTGAAGAAGAGAAGGCTGAGGGAAGACCTTATCACAATCTATAACTACCTGAAGGGGGGATGCAGAGAGGCAGGGGTTGGTCTCATCTCCCAGGTCACAGGAGATAGGACAAGGGGAAATGGCCTCAAGTTGTGTCAGGGGAGGTTTAGATTGGATACTAGGAAAAATTTCTTCATGGAAAGGGTTATCCAGCATTGGAATAGGCTGCCCAAGGAAGTGGTTGAGGCACCATCCCTGGAGGTGTTCAAAAGACGGGTTGACATGGTCCTCAAGAATACGGTTTAGTGTTTTGGCTTTTTTTATTGCTTATTTCTTATTTATTTTTTTGTCAGAGTTAGGTTGATGGTTGGACTAGATGATCTTTAAGGTCCCTTCCAACCTAGACGATTCTATGATTCTATGATTCTAGGTGGCATTGCTGTGGCTCACCAGATGGTTGCTGGGGACTCATCAGTGCAGTGTGTGTGCAAGGAGGCTTAAGCTGGTAGGGCTGGAGTATGGGGTGGCCGTCGAGGATGAGGGGAGGCTACTATAAGTTATGGTACGAGCTGCGGCAATCGGGAGGCAACAGAGCGCAGGTAAAAAGAGCTGGGCAAGCTGGGGACATGCACGGGTGTGTGTGTTTACAGGGCAGGTCTGATGGTAGTGGAGGGTGAGGTTGAGGTGGGAGCGAAGAGGAGCACACTTGTGGGGATGCAGAGCCCAGCTGCCATGTGAAGGATGTGGGGAAGGTGAAGTATTGTGCGTTTGGGATCAGGCAGTGTGGATGGCTACAGCATCAGGGTACAGAAGGAGCTGGCTTGGTGAAGAGGGAAGGTGAGGCTGTGGTTGTATGCGGTGGTGATCAGAGGGAGAAGAGAAGAGAAGAGACAGCAGAGGTGGGACCAAAAGGGGTCCCATCACCTGCTGATGGCTGTGCTTTCTTCTCCTGGCTCGCAAAGGATCACCCTGCCACCCGAGCTCCCTGCCAGAGGCTCATGTTTCTGTGCCCAGCTCATAGGGATGGAGGACAGGCTGGGTGTTACCAGTAAGTGATTGCCTTTACATTGGGGTTGAGTTAAACAGGTCAGGGTAGTGTTCACAGGGCTTCTGTGGCAGACACCAATCCCAGGGCATCATTCCTCCTCTTGGTACATCAGATAAAAAGGACTGTTAATGCTAACATTTGTGCATCACTTATGGTGAGGGCCTGCTCCTGCTTGGACCTGGGGCGTGCCTCCCTTGGACTAATGTCCGTAGTGGACTTGAAAGATGGCAGCACACTGGTGCCCTCGTCATGGCCAGAGACCCCAGGCGCTCTGCCAATGTAAAGGAGAAGAGGTCCCTGCCCCTCTGCCAGAACCCATTTGCCTTCTCGCGTCCATCCTGTGACCGGCTGCACACGCACGTGACTTTTTAATCACCAACAGTGGAAAATTTTCCATTGGGTGCAGTTGGCACTGAGTTCTGGAGTGGAACAGCTGGTCTGCATGGTTGTCCAGTGGCCGAGGTCCCCCTTCCCCTGGGTCACCACCCCCAGAGAGGGACAGGAGACTGGAAGGGAGCTGGGGAGTGTGCCCCTGTGCCTAGGTGGCCAGGGGGCTTGCTTTTGCTGTGGGTGCTTCCTTTGTTGCCCTGGGGTGACTGCCGCGGCCACCGTGCCACCGCAAGGTCATTGCCGTTGGGCTCGGTGGATGGCTCTGGTGTGGAGGCTCCACCAGGGCTTCACCGCAGGCGCGGTGCTGGCTGCGCCGTGTCCCCAGGAGCGGCGGTGCGCGGCGGCTACCCCCGAGGTGAAAAGACGCAGCTTTTTATGAAGCGGAGCCAGCCCGGAGGAATTTTCCCCTTGTGGCCAGCTGTTGTCCTGGGCCTGGCTTGCGTCCTCCAGCACTTCCCACCCCGCGCTGCCTCGGGGAGGGGACCGTGGGCTGGCCCACCCTCCCGGACTCCCTGCACCAGGCGAGCGAGTGGGTGCCACCTCGGGCTGGTTGGGGGGTGAGTAGCTGCGGTGGAGCTGCTGGTGGGGGTGCTGCCTCTGCAGGGATCCTCTTGGGCAGCGGAGAGTTTTCCCCACCCCCAGCTCTGCCGCTGCCTCTTTGTTTTCTGGCAGAAGCCTCTGTGCCTTTTCATTGCCGTTGAGGCGCCGAGCAGGAGCCTACATGTGCTGTGTGTGCGTCTCGCTGGGAACGTGATGCGGGCTGGCAAGCCTGCGGGGCTGGCCATCTCCCTGGCAGGGCTGCGGGGGACAGCCGGCAGCTTCAGGGGGTCTCCTCTCTGTGGGCTGTTCCTCCTCCGGTCGAGCAGGGCTTCGAGGCCGCCGGGTTCCTCCACGAAACCCTCTTTCGCCTTGGCAGCGCTTCTGCACCTTGCCACAAGTAGAGTAAGTTGGATGGGAAAGGGGCTGGTCCTCGGCTGGGCTCCGCCGGGGGCTCGGGCTCTCCGCTGCGGTCCTCCCCTCGCTCCTGCTGGGAAGGCACCTGAGATTAGAGCCTCACCGGGGGCTGCGGAGCCGGATACGGCGGTGGCTGAGGATTCGCCTGTGTGCTGCGCCTGCCTCTCCGTCTATTTGATCTCCCGACTTCCAGCGGGGACTGAATTCCTGTGCTGGATTCTGGGCTCGGCTCTTGTGAAAGGATCCAATTATTTCAGAGCTTTGAGCATCTCCATTTGCTGCCCATATTTGCGGCGCCCGGGTCTGCGCTGGCTGGAATTCCAAGTGATTAACGTGGCTGTGACATCCCTCCTAGGGGTGTTATCTTTGCTCGCTGTCCCCCCCACCGCCCCCCTCTTCCTCCTCCTCCTCCGGCAGCGAGCGAGAGAGACAGGCAGGCAGAGACAAAGGTCTGTCCTCAACCTGGGCTGTCCTCCCCGTGAGCGGCTGCTGCGTGGGATTTCCCTGCCCTTGCCTGCTGCAGGTTTCCTGGGCTCCCGGTGGAAGGCTGGAGCTGGGCGGCCGTGGGCTGTATCGCTGAGGTTTGAGCCTGCTGGTGCTGGGTGGGCAGGGGGTGCTGCCAGCTTTGGAGAGCTGCCCGATTGTCCTGCCGGGTTTTAGGCTGCTTTTCATTCTTTGGCCGCGCTTTCCTGGGGAGAGAGGCAGCCGTGCATGGAGGGGAGGCTGATGGAAGTAGGGGGTGGTGGTGGGTGGTTGGACAGGGGGGGAAAGCCCCCTATACAGGTGGCTGTTGCATAGCAGGATCTGCCTGCAGACCCTGCGAGCCCCCCTTCCCAGCTGCAGGCTATTGTCAGCGTCGCTGCCTGCATGCGAGGCACCCGGGCAAGGTGTATGGAGGCGATCCACGCCAAGACGTGGGGCATCAGGAGGGGCAGGGGCAAGACCCCGGGCTGGGACCTCCGCTAGGGCTCCCCAGGATCCCAGGAGAGGTTTCATTGTGTTATCCTGGGTCAGCCAAGCAGAAGGGCTCCGTCCCTGCGGCACCTGTGCGTGGGGCTGGGGCTTCGGGAGGCACCGCACGTCTCTGGGCAGACCTCAGCCCCACGAGAGCCTGCTGCAGCCTGGAGCCCCAGCAAGGCACCCTGTGGGGAGGGATGCTCTGTCCCTGGGGGTTCTACACCCTCTTCCTGCAGGGTGGGAGGAAGAGCAGCAGCAGCATCTCATGAACACAGGTGCTGTGGGGCAGAGGGAGGTGTGGGATCTGTCTCTGTAGAAGCTATCTCTGGTGGTTTCTAGGAGCTGGCCCTTCTAACGTGGGCAGTGCCTCTTGCCCCATCCTTCCCCTCAGGGCTTGGGTTTCCTCCCCCGTTATCAGCACAGGGGCCAGCACTGAGCAAGGCTTTGCAGCTGCAGAAATCTGGCACGGCAGGAGACTTCCCGAGGACCCCAGAGAGCAGCATTTGCTCTTGCAGTGGGGCGAGGATGCTTCCTCCCTCTGCATCCTCCCTCTCCCTTGTTTCCACCAAGTCTGAGCTCCTTCCTTCCCAACCTGAATCCCAGGGGAGTGCCAGAGCCACATTTATACTGGTTGTCTTTCCCTTCAGGCACAGTTTTGCTTCTCTAGCATCTTTCTAACCATCTTCTCTCCAAGATTGCCACCTCTCCTGTGGACAGTGATGAAGGTGGTCCCCAGCCTCACATGTCTGTCTCTCTGCTGACGGCGATATGCCTGATCTGCCAGGCTGTGGAGAAACCCTTCTCTGGTGGCAGCATTGCTGCTGGTGCTGCCATCCTTCAGGGTTGTGATGGAAACTTTCTGCCTGCTGGCACTTCTCAAGCTCTGCTCTTAGCCTGTGCCAGGGAGCTTCTGGTTTTGCATTTCCACTGGTTAGATTTCCTTCCGTCTCCTTGCGTTCAGATAGGACCAATGGAGCTGTGACTTATGCTCCAGGCAGTCTGTTTCCAACAGTTTTTGTTGCCTCTTCTCTTGCCTTGTTCTCTGCTTGTGCCAAGGATGGTTATTTGCCGTCCTGCAGTGACAGCCCCGCTCTTTCCTGGCTATGTGGTTCCTGCTTCACCCCCAGTGAGCCTGAGAAGGTCTCCTTAGCACTTCCCAGGTGAGGGAGCAGGAGGGAGGAAGGCAGCAAAAGCTGGTGGGTTTGAGGTTGGTTTGGGTCTTTTTTTTTTCAGTCTAAATGGTGCAAGGACCCCTACCAGCTCCTGGGCATGGTGCTCTGCCCCAAGCAGCACTGCCCAGACCAAAGCCCGTTTTCACCAGCTGTGTGCCCCCCTGACTCTCTGGTACTGCTGTTCTGGGAAGCTGCCTGGATCCCCACTGGGTGAGCACGGCCCTTTGGGCACAACTCTTGCTCTTCTCCTTACAACAGTGCTGTGCTTCCAGCCCTGCCAGGGTCCCTTTTCCAAGGGTTCTGCTGGTCCTGCCCCACGACAGATGCCCCTCTGGCTGTCAGAGCTGCCCCCACACCCATCCTGCTTCCTTTCTGGCTGGTACAGTACGATTAAACAGCAACAGATCCTTTTGCAGGCTGCAGCCCAGCATGTGGTACAGCTGCATCGCCCAGCCAGGGACCCTCCCTCACCCACCACCGTCCTGCTCTCTTGCCACCAGACTGAGACCACGGTCTGTTAATTCTGGGTTGCCCCTGGAATGAAGTCAGCAGGTAAGCCAAGCCCCTGGCCCCCTCCAGGCCTGGCTTTGTCATCCTGCATCAGGATGCACTTTTGGGGTGGGCTGGGGAATCCTGGCATTTCCCAGCACGATGCTTCATGGGGGAGTATCTGGGCTGGCAAAACCTGGTGCAGGCCCTTGTGCTAGGAGTGTGCACTACTGGCTGGCGTTGGCATCACCTAGTGACTCGTGTGGAGGTCTCGACTGGGGTGGATTTGTGGTGTCAGCACGTCAGCCTCTCTTGATGGACCCATTCTCCCAAAAGGCAGCTGCTGCTGGGGAGCAAAGGGGCTCAGCCTGCCTGCACCAGGATTTGGGAAGGGCTGTGACTGCAGAGGGTCATGAGAAGGAGAAAGAAAGGATGCAGGTGAAACTGCTTATTTGTCCCAGTGTGGACACACGCAGGAAGGATGTGGCTTTTTACCACCACACCATACTGACTCTTGCTGCTGTTTTCTGATTTTCCTTCCCTCTGGTTGACTGTGCCACGCAAGACATGGTACAAATCTTCTCCAGGGCTGGAGGGAGGAAGCAGCAACCTTCCAGGCAGGCAGAGCACAGCATGTTACCACCTTGGTGTACGCCCACAGCTGCGGGCATTCACCTGCTTTTCTACCTGCCTTGGTGCAGGCTCCATGTGGGCTGCCAGGAGGAGCTGATCTTTACAAAGAGCTTTTGTTGAGGTTTTGGACCAGAGGTTTGTTACGCTATGGCATTGATTTGCCCTGCTGCAAGCACTCCTTGGGAGCAGTGTATTATACCTCTCTTCTGGCTGGTTGTTGGCAATGCCCTTTTCCAGCTCTGCTGGTGGTGGCTTTTGGGCTGACCACCTCTCAGGGACTGGCCATGACTGCCTGTTAATTACAAATCCTATTGGAAATATAATGAAAAAACAGCCTGTTTCCTGGGGCAGGCAAGGTCAGGCAGCAAGCACAGCAGGTGATCTGCTGAAGCTGGCTTCCTACCTGCAAGATGGTGGGATGGAGAACTTCCTGGACCAGGGTGCCAGAACAGGGCGGTTCAGTGCCTCTGAGCATCCCATTGGGGATTTTATTTATCTGCCTGTTTCCAGCCTTCACGGCAGCACTCGCTGCTGGGTTGGGATGCCCAGTGGTGGCTTCCCTCTGGATGGCCACTGCAGTGAGCACCTGGTTGAGGGCTGCATGGCAAGGGAGGCAGGGAGGGCATGGTCCCCAGGGGTGGGCAGCAGTGTTTCCTTCTTCTCCTGGAGGTTCCTGGGCTGCCCCTGCCACAGAGTGGCTGAGGGCAGAGATGCCCAAGGGCTCCTGCCCACTCTGAAGGTGTTGCACCAGGAGCTGCTGCCTGAGCTGACGCTCCTCCTTGCCCTCTTCCAGGCATCAAAGCTGCAGTGCCGGTGGATTATGACCGCAGGGGAGCTGTGTTGCATCTGCAAATCTCTGTCATGCATCAAGGGCACATCTGAGCAGGTGAGTGCTGTGCACATGAAAGGAATGCTATCTTTGCGCTGGGGGAAGCTGGTGGGGGGCCATCACGGCTCATGGCTGTCAGGCTCCCGGTTTCTGCCTTCCCTGACAGGCATCTCTTGTTGGAAGAAAACAACTGCAAACTCTTCTCCTTGTCTGTAGGGACAGACAGTGAGCTGTGCTGTGGGTGAAAGGGGTGGGAGGTGAGCGTGAAACCAGCATCTAGCTGGAGGCCCAGAGGTTGCTGGTGAACTGCAGTGTCTTGGAAAGCAAGACATGAAATGGTCACCAGAAGGAAGCAGGGTTCTGTTGATATTCACGGGTTTTCATACAGAAACATAAACAAAAGGGATGTAAAATACAAGCCAGGTGTGAGAGTTCACAGCTTAGCTTAAAACATTTGTGGTTTAAATGGAAATCAAGGTAATAGCACTGTCTGAAAAGGCTGAGATGTACATGGCCTTTGGGTTTGGGAGGTTGGGAGAGACTGAGCCCTGATGCCACCTTCTCTGCTTGTGTGACCCCACAGGCAGGCAGAATTCTCCTGCCCTTCTCCTGGAAAGCATCTGAATCACTCCAGCCTTTTATCTCTCATTTTCCTTCCCTTCAGAGCTGCTGTAGAAACTGAAGAGGTGGAGAGAGCACTGCAGAGGTTCAGAGGCACACAGTGATGGTGGGAGCCATTCCACGGCAGCCACGCCGCTTCTGGGGGGTGCCTCGCTGGCAGGTGTCTTCAGCTAATTGTGCCAACGACCGCCCACTGCGGGACAAGGAGGTTAATCCAGAGCAAAGCAGGGTTCTGCTGCAGAGGGGTGAGTGTGGGGGGCAGCCAGGACAGGCTGCAGTGTGTTGGGTTACACAGAAGGGTTGAGGCTGGGAGGGACCTCCCAACCCAGAGAAGCTGTGGATGCCCCATCCCTGGAGGTGTTCAAGGCCAGGCTGGATGGGGTTTTGAGCCCCTGGGCCAGTGTGAGGTGTCCCTGCCCATGGCAGTGGGGTTGGAACTCGATGATCTTTAAGGTCCCTTCCAACTCTAACCATTCTATGATTCTATGACCTCTGGTGGTCATCTGGTCTGACCCCTCTGCTCAGGCAGGGCCACCTAGAGCCATTGCCCAGGGCTGTGTCCCAGCAGCTTTTGAATGTCTCCAAGGATGGAGACTCCACAACCTCTCTAGGTAACCTGTTTCAATGCTCAGTCACCTTCACAGTACAAAGGAAGTGTTTTTTGATGTTCAGACAGAACCTCCTGTGTTCCAGTTTGTGCCCATTGCCACTTGTCCTGTCTCTGGACACCACTGGAAAAAGCCTGGCTCCATCTTCTTCGCACTGTCCCTTCAGGTATTCATAGTAATTCATTGGTAAGATCCCCCTGAGCCTTCTTTTCTTCAAGCTGAAGAGTGCCAGCTCTCCCAGCCCTTCCCCATAGGAGAGGTGCTCCAGTCCCTTCATTATTTTAGTGGCCCTTTGCTGCACTCTCTCAGGTGTGGTCTCACCAGTGCTGAGAAGAGGGGAAGCATCACCTTCCTCGACCTGCTGGCAACACCATGCCTAATGCAGCCCAGGATACTTTGTCCTTCTTTGTGACAAGGGCACATTGCTGGCTCATGGTCGACTTGGTGTCCACCAGGACCCCAGGACCTTTTCTGCAAAGCTGCTTTCCAGCTGGTTGGCCCCCAGAACATCTTGATGCATGGTTATATCTTTCATCACTCCTTTTAAATAAAATCCCTGGACTCAACCACCCTGGCCTGCCACTTTTTCATCCCCATCAAGGCAGAGGTCCAAATGCAACGTGCAGCCTTGCTCTCCAGGTAGCCTTGACCCACTTGGAGAACTGATTCCCCTGTTGCTCATCTGCCCCTAAGCCTTTGCTCCACAAGAGCCAGGTAGAACTGTGGGGACAAGCAAAGGGCAGAGCTGCCAGGCACAGGCAGTTTGTCAGGCTCTGGAGCTCCTCGATCTGGCAGTGACCTCATGCATCTCCTCAGTTCTTGCAGCCATTTCAGTATTTATTGTGCCGGAAAAACTCATGGCCAGGATTCTCACAGCTCTCTCAAACTGGGCTGAAAATCAGAAGTGAGGTGCCATGCAGCACAACAGAGGTCAGGCCCTCAGGGCAGGCTGGGGTGGGTGGATGGTGCAGGAGCCCATGATGGGCTCTGCAGCCCCTGGTACCACCCAGCTGCTAATTGGGGTGGTGGAGCTCTCTGGTCCATGTGTCCCCAGGCTGCCTAGCCAGGTTTATGTCCCTGCCATGGCGTTGGCAGCGTAGGGCACAAGCCCTGCCTTGTTCAGCACGTGTGGCCGGGGCAGGTCGTCTTGGTGACTGCTGGGAGATCTTGTTGCTGTTGCCCAAAAGTGTGATTACAGCCCTGAGCCCCTAGGACTGGTCTGACCTGCCTGACTCATGCGCTCCACAGCAGCGCAAGCACATCACGTCCCTGGCAGAGGACAGGCCCCCTCTTCCTCACTTGTCCAGACTTGTCCCCAGTAGCCTCCAGCCTGGCTGGAGACTCCTCTCCATGCCCAGCCTGGGAAGGAAGTGCTGATCCTGCAGGTGGGTGATGCCCCAGGGTTCCCTGGGGAGCCACACCAGCCTGGTTCCTCTTCCTGTCCCCGGAGAGGGAGGTCTGAGGGGGGGACACTTTTTATCCCAGCAGGTTCATTGCAGCAAAAATCCCAGATGAGGACAGATATACCAGACTGATCTCCGTCCTCCTGCTCTCTCTTTCCAGATGCCGCGCTGCAGTGTACTCCATAGTGGAGCACTCACCCGGACGTCCTGAGTGAGGAGGGGTCCATCTCCCACCCTGCCCTCATCCCCTGTCCTGTGGCACTTTACGGCCCCACTCCTGCTGCTGCATGGGCTGTTCTGACTCTGGCTCCGCTCGGAGTCCAGGCAAATAAGGCTCCATGCGGCACATCCACACAGAGACGTCCCTGCCCCCGGAGCGCGGCACGGACCCCGGCCTGTCCCAGCCCAGTGGAGAGACACCCTTGGAACCTTCCTCGCAGCGCTGCACCCACCGTGGCATCCTGATGGGCTACAACGAGACGGAGATCAAGCGCCAGAAGGTTTACCAGGTGTCCATCTTCTCCCATCTCTCCAGCTCCTCCGAGAGCACGGAGCAGCGGGCAGGCAGCCGGCCGGTCGTCAAGAGGGGTTACCCCGAGCAGCGAACTCCAGAGGGGGTGAGAGATCCCAAACGAACTCACTGGGGTGGCGGGGGGGTGGACAGCAAGCGCGATGGAGGCCCTGGGCAAGCTTCTCTGGACGATGACGATACCTTTGAGGATGGTCTGCTGGTGGAGGAGCTATCCCTGTGTGGGTCTGCCCAGCACTTCTCCCACAGCGGGCTGCGGGTGGTGGAGCACCGGTGTGAGGGCAGCCCAAGCCGCAGTCCCAAGGCCAGCAGAGAGAACAAGTCGCAGGATGTCGTCTCCTCCTCCTCCCCCTCCTCCTCCTCCTCCTCCTGGCCCCAGCACATTGCTTGCAGTACTTTGCACAAAAGAGATGGTTGCCCTGTCTCATCTGGGGATCAGCCCACAGATTGTGGGGAAGATGAAGAGCGGGCAAGTGGCCACAACTTACTTCAACTTGATTTGCACAATATTGCACAAACAGCCTGCTTGGACTCTGGTGGGAAGAGAGAGAAGGCGGGGAGCAGCCCAACTCACAGTAGCTGGGCTAGTGGAGAAGAGGAGTGGCCAGTACTGGCCAACAAGTGCAAGGAGCCCCCAGCTCCTCAGGCAGCACTCAGCCCCGAGCCCAGCAACCTGAGCTCCCTGGAGAAGACTCCCTGCGGGAGCAGCCAGCTCAGCAGCAGCAGCTGCCCGGCCAAAAGAAAGCTGCTGCCCGCTGGCGAGGCTGTGGCCGACTCCTGCTCTGAGGACGAGAGCTTGTCCCCACCAGCACGGAGGAAGAGGACCCTGCCGTGCCACCCGGTGCCCACGGCCTGCCGCAGCACTGATGCCAAGGGGGCTCCGTTTTGGAATCACCTGCTTCCCACCGCCAAGGTGAGCGTCGCTCGTGGCAGGAGGCAGGGCATGGCCTGGAGACACGCAGAGCTCGTGGTTGTCCTTGTGGGCAATGCGGTCCATCGTGACACGGCATCCTGTCCTGTCCCGGTGCCACCACACTGCTGTAAGCAGGATGCTGGCTGACAGCCAGCCCTGGCACACGTGGTGTATGGGCTGTCACTCTTGACACGCTTTAGTCACTGGATCCACTGCTTGCAGTCAGCTCTTTTAATCTAGAGAGCCTTGCTTGGACATGACACGAGCTCCCTGTGACAGTGGGAGCTGGACATGTGGCATGGGGTGACACTCAATGTCTGACAAAGTCATGCTAAGCCAGACTTTCTGGCAAGTTTGGGAAGGGTGGCTGTCTTCTGGCTGTCTGATGAGGAGGAAGGCAGAGGAGAAGGGTGTCTTGAGTCCCTGTCTGTGATACCTATCCATCAGGGCAAGGGTTTGGTGGCAGGGGGTGGGACTGGATGTGCTTTGGACAGGGACTGGGAGCCCCAGTGCTGTGTGCAGAGATGCCACTGACTTTTCTGCAATTCTGGAGTGGCCATGGCATGTCCCCAGCGTGCCACAAACTCAAAAATGAAGCAGATGCCGGAGGTTTGCACCCACCCTGGCAGCTCAGGAGCTGCCTGTGGTTCTTCCCTGCTTATGAGCCCCTCCTGGCCAGCTCTCTGCCTTCACCATGTCCTGCCAGCTGAGGCTGCAACAGGCTCACGCCAGAGCCAGCAAGTTCCTCTTCTTCCCTGGGGCATCCCATGGTGCAGGGAACTGCAGGGACCAATGGCAGAGCTGCTCTGGCTTCTTGCTGCTTGGAGCCAGGACACCCTGTCCATGGGGGACAGCTCCATCCCTGCTCACCTGTCCTTTTTGGTGACCGTCCCCCAACCTGGCTGCCCCCAGCACTGCCCTTGCAGAGTGAAGCCCTCCAGCAGCTTCCCTGGGCTTTCCAGCTTGGTCATGCCAGCCAGCTCCATCATCCCTTTGTGTTGTGCTGCCCTTTGTGTGGCTTCCAGAAGAGAAAGCCCCCGAAAAGGGGACATCTTTAAAAGGAGGCTGCAGTGTGGTCCTGGATTTAACCCTGCTGCTGTAGGAGCCTGGACGTGGGCAGGGGGGGGCAGCAGGCCACTGCCTAGCGGCACTATGGAGGACTCTGCATGAATCACCAGGAGACGGGACTTCTGGGCTGATCGGGAAGCTTCATCGTACGTGTTACCCTTCCCTGGGAGGTGGAAGGGGGTGTTGGAGCCTGGCTCTGTTTGGGGCTGTCTTGTTACTGAGGATGGTCCCGACACCTGCTTTGCAAGGTGGGAGCTGTGTGCTGCACCCTCAGCTTGGCTACCAACACCCCCATCCCCAGCGAAGCCACCTTGGGGTTGGGAGAGCCCTGCATCTTCACCAGACACTGTGGCCATCACGCTGCCCTGCTGGCCACCCTTGCAGAGGCTGCCAATGGCTCCCCATGGATGGGAGCACCTCCAGTCTGCTGGGACCTTTTGGGGCAAGGGCAAGGGGTGATGCCATCTCCTGTGCACAGTCCCCAGTTGCTGTCCTAACACCCTTCTCTATTTCGTGTCCCCTCCAGAGCTCTGTGGGTTGCACTGCAGTCGGAAGGAGGCTGAAGAGCGGGCTGCGCCTCAAATTGTGAGTGTCCTGGCGGTACCATGGAATGGATGTGGGGGCTCAGGGTGCCCAGCCACCCTCACACCCCACAGCCCATTGGGAGGGTCAGGCTGGGTCCCTTCCCTGCCCCAGGTGTCTCCCTTCCATAAGACCCCAGGTTGTGGGGCAGAGGGAGGTTTATTCTGCCCCTGGTGGGTGGGAAAGTGGGTTCAACCTCCACCAAAGGGACAGGGGGACCTGGAGAGGGCAGCCCAGGGCTGCATGTGCTCCAGTCCAACACCGATCTTCTCTCCTCTCTCAAAGGCGACATCTTCGAAACAGACTCCGGAGGGGTACCAGGTCCTCCACAACGTCCTGGGCCACCACTGCTTTCAGCCATGCTCTGCTGGGCAATTTTGAGGTAATGGCACTCACCTGCCCCGGAGGGAGGTGGGTCCCAGGGTCTCCAGGCTGGGCTGGCGACAGATGTGAAAGGCTGAACTTGACAGGATTCCCGGAGTGGGGCTGGGGTGGTTGTCTCCAAGGGCCTGGTGCATGGTGGCTGTGTCACACACAGCCAGCAGATCCTTGGGTGATGTGCCAGGACTCTGAACCCTGCTGAGATGGCTGTGGTGGGCCTGAGCCCGGGTGCTCTTATTGCTTCTCTGTGTTAGATGGCTGGGTTTAGCCCACCAATTCAGGATGGGTCTGGCTCAAAGCAAGCAGCCAGGGTCCCTTGTGGGTGGTCTCCGGAAAACTGGGAGACACACAAGGGCAAGCAGATATGTGGTTGTGGTGGAGATAGGATTGATCTCACCTGCAGCTTTGAAGTGAGGGGCAGTACTGGTGTGTGAAGGTCCATAATGCTTCCCTCCTCTCTCAGGAGTCCATCCTGAAAGGGCGCTTTGCACCGTCGGGGAGGATCGAGGGGTTCACAGCAGAGATTGGTGCCAGCGGCTCCTACTGCCCCCAGCACGTCACCCTGCCCGTTGACGTCACCTATTTCGACATCTCCGAGCACAGCGTGCCCTCGCCTTTCCTGGTACGTGGATGAGGGAGGGCTGGGACTGTGGGGGAGGTGAGTGGGGGCTGTACCCAGGCACCAAACGTCCTGGGGGCTGCCCCTCTCTGGAGAGCGTGGCTCGAACGACCACCTCCCTGAGAAGACTGCTGGCTGCGCCAGGAGCAGTTTTTAACCCCAAAAGCAAAGAGGGAACGAAGAGGGAACCCTTGCAGGCATGTGAATGGGCAGGGTGCCGTCTCATGAATGTTGCTTTGCTGTCACCTCTTTGTTGATGATTGTTCATCCCCTGGTCTAGAGAGTGACTGAGCTGGGCTACTTCTTGCCACCTTGTGCCAGGTGTCCCAGCTGGGCTCTCCATGGGCTTTCTCCCTCTCATGTGCCGTTTCTTTTGCCTCCTCAGGGAGTGATTAACTTGGAGGCCTTGGGAAAGAAGGGTTACAGTGTCCCCAAAGCTGGAACCATCCAAGTGGTGAGTCATCCGTCCCCTGGTCTCTGTTGGTGCCATGGGGAGGGGACATGGTGGGCTCTGGTTGCCCCCAGGGTGGATATGCTCCATTACTTTGTTTGGCAGGGCAGCAGCCAGAAAGCATGTGCAGAGCAGTTATGTGGCCATCAAGACAGCACAGCGGAGGGGAGCATGGGGTCCCCAGGGTGCTGGCAGAGGACAAGGTGATGGGAGATTTAGGGAAGGAAGATGCTGGTGGGGAGGGGTGGGGTCTTGATAGAAGAGCATGTGTGTGCAGTGGGGGTAGGATGGTAGCACAGAAGTAGAGGTGGGTGGGAAGGACTGACTTCTGGACCTCAAGCTCTGCCCTTCGGGGCTGGTGTGGGGCTTTCTGGACACTTAGGCCTGTTGGTGCCACCCTTAGGTGCCCCAGCCCTGCCCTATGGATCCATTCCTGCACCTTTCCCAGCCTCATGCCCTACCCTTCTGCCCTCAGACCTTATTTAACCCCAACAAGACTGTGGTGAAGATGTTCTTGGTGACGTACGACTTCCAGGACATGCCAGCCAACCACATGACCTTCCTACGCCATCGCATCTTCCTGGTGCCCGTCGGGGAGGGTGAAAGGGCCACCATGGCCCCCAGCGACCCTCCAGGCACCGATCCGCCCCGCAGGGTCCTCTGCTACCTGATGCACCTAAGGTAGGGCATGCTGGGAGGGATGGACATCTCCCCCAGCACCACCCCTGGGCTCCTCTCCCATGTGTCCCTGCCTCCCCCAAAGAGGCAAGATGGCAGTCTGGGGAGGAGCAGGGACCGGCTGCTCCTTTGGGGAGGTCGGAACCGCCACCCTGCCCCAGAACAGTGTCCGCTGTCCCTCTGAAGGTTAACCAGAGCATGGTCACATTGACCAGGGGCCGAAGTAGGCGAGGGGGTTGTGCCCTTGCTGAGGCTGCCCTGCCCTTGCCCGGGAGCCTGAGGTCCCTCTGCCCTGTTCTTGTCCCCCACTCAGGTTTCACAGCTCCAAGTCGGGGAAGATCTACCTTCACGACGACATCCGGCTGCTTTTCTCCCGCAAGTCGATCGAGGTCGACTCAGGGATCCCCTACGAACTGAAGTCCTTCACGGAGATGCCGAGGAACCCCTCTTACTCCCCCCGGGCCTGACCTTCTCCATCCCCCAGGGCCACGGGGGACCCTCCAGCCCAGCACTTTTGGGGACAGATGAGTAAAAGGGGCAGCAAGCAAGCACCGCCTTGAAGTATCGCCCTCCCCACGCGCCCTGCTCCTCCTGAACAGCACGGATGCCGTGCCCGTGCCCTGCGGCAGGGCTGGGATCACGGATGGGGATTCACCAGGAGGGGCAGGGGCTGGGGAGCGGCTTGGAGGCTCAGCTGGAGCCGGGGTTGGGGGGGAAGAGTTGAAGAATTGGGTGGGGGGCTCCGGGTAAAGCTGGTCCCGGGGTTGGGAGCAGAAAAGTGCGGGCAGAGTTTGTATTTATTTGTATTTATTGTTGCTGGGAGCACAGAGGAGGCTCGTGCGGAGTATCAGAGGTGCTGTGCTGTTCTTCCCCCCCCACCCCAACACACACCACCACCACCCCCCATCTTGGTCCTGGAGGGTCCAAGCGCAGGGCTTGCCGGGGGTTCGGGGCAGGGCTGTGGGGACCGTGAGGGTGGCTGGGGATGGAAGGTGACACCTCGTGCTCTGAGTGGGGATGTGTTACAAGCCCTGGGAGAGGCTGAGACTCGCCAGGAAGCAGCTCCTGGGGGGCCAGCCCCGCTTCAGGCAGCTTGGGGCAGCCTAGACTTGCCCTCCCACCCTTTGAGGGCAAGCCATTCCCCAAGAAGTCTGTCAGGGGAAGCGGCTATTGCCATGGATATGACACGGCTGGGCTCCTGGGGCTCTCTCTGGGAGCATGGGGACAGCCCTCCCAGCCCCACAGCCCATGGGGCGAGGTGGCTCCCAGAGGAGGTGGCCATGGCCTCCCCCACCCACCCAGGGGAGGGTGGGAACCCCGGCCAGGGTCCCGAGGAAGGGGAGCAGCAGTAGGGGCCATCACAGGAGTGTGGGGCTCGGGCCTCCAGGAGGGGATTTGGGGATGATGTGGAGAAGTCCTACTCACCCCCTCCCCACTTAACGCCCCCCCGGGCCTGCTCGCCCCTCAGCCCCGCTGGCTGCATCCCAGCGGGGCCGGGGCGGGGGGGTGGAGGTGGGGAGGGGGAGCTGTACCGGTACTTTTCGTGTTCTGTTTCTAATTTAAATAAACGCCTGTTTGGAAACCCCACTCGCTCTCCACCGCTGCTTGGATTCTGGGGGGGGGGCGGAACCAAAGAGCGACGGAACCAAGAAGCTGCGCCTCCCGCGGCGGGCCGGAACACCCGGAAGGGGCGGGACGTGCCGGGTGGAGGGGAAGTGTGTGGCGGTAGTTGTTCCGGGTCGGCGGGAGAGCGG